TAACATTTGCAAATGTGATTAAAAGAATTTATTATTTTTACAACTGTATTCAGAAAGCTGGCAGAAGCAGACACTCCAGTGCTTACCTGTTTAATTTTGTGTGGAATAGCATAGCCAGCATCGCTGCTAATGTTTATTTTTTTATCAATAACCTGATAGTTTGGATCTGGTTCCTTTTCTGTGTCTGAAGGGTATGTATCCATGTCCTCATCCTCACAACAACTGCCTGATACTTCCAAAGACTGCCCAATGCTCCTGTCAACCATTGCTCTTCCAGTTGTGACTGCAGGCAGAAAATGCATTAAGGGATATGAGTCACATACCCTCTCAAGTCTCCAAACCCTCGGGGTCCCTTCCTACTCCACAATTCTATGATTTCATGAGTCTTGGGTATGTGTGATTTCCATACCCTTCTTCTCATGTCCTGAAGATCAAAAGCATCTGATCTGGATTTTAAATTACCCACAATTCCATAAGATGTCCCAACTGTAAACAAACTCATTTGTTTAAACTATGGTTTCAGATCCTAGCTTGTTCTCAAACCATAGCTTAAACAAATCACAAATGGAAAACAGATGCTTTCTATTTTCTTCTTTGGAAAGCAAGAGAGATAGAGGAGAGGGTGAGAATCCAACACTCACACAGGAACATTCATGTTTCTTATTATGTCTGAAGTGGGCTATAAAATCTTGGACTCTTTAACCAGAGGAAATAAAAGTTCTATTACAACTTTTCCAACAGTTCTCATCAATACATGCATTATATCCTACCGCATTCGCAGCTCAGTGACTGTGGCATATGGCTCAATATAATTTTCTTGATCTTGCAAGTAACTGGCATCACTCTCAGAAAGAGATCGTTGACGTGGCTGAGGGATGGCAATGGTCCGTCCAGTTAGGGTTGTCACAAGAATAGCTGCGGCCAGAGCGGATCTGGAAAATAAAAATAAATACAATATTTAAGCGTTTACAATGGCTTAGACATTTTATCTCATTTCTGACAGGAATAACCTAAATGTTATTGTGTATAAGCAACAGAAGCTGCAAAATAAATATAGTGGAGTGGGCAAACTGCCACCTTTCCTTTCCATTTTTGGTAACATACCTTGAATCATTAGGAGCTTAAAATGTAAAGCCCTATTTTGCAATCAGATGTGGACCGAATTAAGTCTTCAAGGTAATATCACGTGCCTCCCTCTTATCAACTATGGGAAGAAAGGAGCCTTGCACATACTGGCTATTTTTTCAGCAAACTATGCTCATGCATCTGTGGGGCACTAAATCACAGGATCAGGCCATCTCCTCACCCTTCTTCTTTCTTTCCTTACCTTGAAGAACAAAATGTGAACAAAATGAACCTCTGAAGCCTTTTCTGGACTGTACCACTTCACCCAGCAGGCAGGATGCTGTGTATCTGAATACTGGCTCACAATTTTCTTTGTGAAGGAAAGGATTGCTTTTTTATGTTGAAGAACATTCAAGCATGAAACCTGTGTCTGAAGGATTACAGTCCAAGAAAAGCTCCACCACCACTTGATTCTCCTACATGCCTACTCAGAAATAAGTCTTACTGAACTCAACAGGACTTACTTTCAGCCCTGATTGTATAAATTTGCTAGAAGATGCTGCTGTTTGTGAGCGTGATTTTGAAAAGGTAAAAAAGGGAGGAAGAAAGGTGAGATTAAAAAATAATCAGAAAGCAAAATGAAGAAACAGTGATTCTTTTAAAAGTCAAAACAAAAGGTTAATAATGTTTTTAAAGGATTGTATTTTACATTAGTACATTTTTCTGGGTTAAAATAATTTAAAAACAAAAGCATTTCATTACTCTTATTTGTCAGATAAACAATAATAATCTTTGTAAGTGATCTCTTGAAAACACTGATGTTAAATTTAATTTTATATAGGGCTGCAACGTGATTAAGAAATTTTAACTTAGTCCCACAATTTATCAATTAAATTTGCATGTAAAACAATATTTCTGAAGCAAGAAGCAAACTTTCTATGTTTTTAGCAAATGCACACATGTATTTCTCATGTGTGAGAGAGAATATATATCTCCATTGATGGCCTGATTGATCAGCAGCACTTTTAGTCAATTATTTTTAATCACTTAATCCAACTGTAATCTGCACAGTCCCCTCACACATTCTTTGAATGTGTGAGGAATGTTGTTTGACCCCTTCTAACGTAATAGAAAACAAAGCTGCAGTCTTTATTATAGTATTAGGGAATCATCTTCAACCATTTCCACTGTGATCAATACAAGCACACCAGTGTAATGTATACATCAACTAGTTCTTGCAAAGGACGGAGAGTTAAAAAAAAAAAAGCCATATATTTGTGCTGCTAATTGGACTGTTCTGATCATTGCTTTTTTGTCACTCATCAGTTTTTTTTAGCCATCCTCATTACCAATTTAAAATTAATTTATAATTAACATGTTCAAATGGTTAATGACTTCAAAGCTGCAACCCTACATATTATTGGAATGTATTAGGTTTATGTTACAGCTGCAAGCAAGAGAGAGGCATGCATTTTAAATATATATCTATATATATTCTATGCAATGAATGGTAATCAAGAGATGAAAAACATTAAGACCTACCTGGGCCTTTCTGGAGAAGGGTTTGGACTACGAGGGGGAGGGGTGCGGGGGACGGCAGCTTTAGGTGCTATGGTAGCTGCAGGATCAGGCCATGAGCTATATGTTTCTAGACAATTTAAAATAAAGTTAGTTGGCAATGACTGACCAAACACAATGGAGAAACACAAAACTAAGTATGCACAATGACTCGAAACAACACAAAAGGGGAGAGAAATTACATGCAAATTAATGTACGTATTGGATCCAGGGCCATAGCACTAAAGAACAGGAGCACTCAATATTGCAGCATGGCAACTGAACAATGAAAGTGCAAAACACATGTATTTGGAACAAATGTTGCAGTCCTGTCTGTATTTACTTAGAAGAAAGTTCCTTTGAAAACAGTGGTACTTAACTGCTAAGTAAATATGCAAAGAATTGTATTATTAGGTCTCATTAATTTCATACTTTTAAGTATGTGAATAGAATCCAAAGAGGACTCAGTGCACTTAGTTATATATATAATTTTACTTCATTTTAAAAGAGAATACTACTATGCTATATTACAAACTGGTTTGAAACTCCTCTTGGGAAACTGCTGTGAAAGGAAAACAAGCCTGAAATCTTCTGGGTGAGCAAAACTGGCTTGAGAGTTCTTAGATCCTTAGAGACAGAGACTTGACATGTTTCATATGAAATATTTAACCACTTGAAAGCCATATTGCTGAGTACAGCTGTTGGCTTTAACTGGCTTTTTTTCAGGATACAACCAAAGCTTTCATTTATTGAAAGTAGGCAGTCACTTCTAACTATCAGGGTAGTGAGCTATACACATTTCTATTTTAAAGGCCATTTACAGAAGCATATTCTGTTCCCTGCCCCACTCCCATAAAACTGCAATATTGTACAGCCTTACACATCCATCAAATACTTCTGAGTAAGTATGCACAAGAATAGGGCTCACTTGCATGTTAAGATAAACCATAGTTATTGCTACTGTATTATATTTATTACCCACCCTTCACCAGAAGCAATATAAAATACAGTATTAAAAGCAACTTAAAACAAATTGCAGTCACTACTAGGTTGTGTCTTAGAATGCTATATCTCAAAAGTCAAATATCTGGGTAAAGTGTTGTGTCTTTAGTATACCATGAAAGTTGTGCCATGAACGTGCCAGACATACCTCTGTGGGAGAAAATTTGACAGCTTATGAGCTGCCACTGATAATGTGCTCTCCTCAGTTACACACAACCTTGAACCTCTGAGTGTGATGGAACTACCAAGATCAGCCCCTCTTAACACCTGAGAGGGTCTGCACCTTAGTGGTCTTTTAGATATTTGGGGGCTATGTTGTTTAGGGCTTTTAAACACTCGCATGAGAACCTTAAACTGGGCTGGAAACAAGCTAGCAACCAGTGCAGCTGTTTTAAAACAGAAGTTATACGAGTTCTAAACAGGACTCCATCCAGTAATTTGGCCACTCCATTTTGGAACAGTTTAAGTTTCTGAGTTGTTTTCAAGGGCAGCCCCATGTAGAGCACATTGTATTAAGGCAGTCTGGAAGATATCAGAACATGGACTACAGTGGTGACACAACAGGACAATTACCATACTGGTCTTGCCCATTCTGCTTCCTGCAGCTAACATGCAACAGAAATAAACCCACAATTCCTGGCAACAGATGCAATACTGGTCAAATATTCAAAAAGTTGCAATTATTGCCACAAAGCAATTATCAGTGGTGTGTACTTTGAAACCTGTGTTGCTAGTTTCTTATGTTGGATTGCTTATTGTTATAGATCTGGGGGAATCCCCCTGGCCTAAACCCTAGGAATGAATAAATATTATGATCTTGTAACAACATTTTTTAAATAAAAACATTATTTTTTTCTGGTCACTGTTCATAGGAAGCATATTTATATTAAATGCATGGCTCTTCAGGCATGGTAAAGTTAACACCCAAAATGTTCAGTTGTATTTTGATCTTGGATGAAGAAGATTAAACAGGATGACTGTCCTGGAAATGCTGCAACAACAGTAATAGCTTAATACGGATGTCCACCCAGTGTGGGAAAGGAGCCATCCAACTTGCAGTATCGCTCTGCATACAGGAAGTCCCCCGGGGCCTCTCCAGTTAAAGCAGATCCTGAAGCAGCAAAGACTGGGAAATAACTTTGCCCTAGTCCCTGAAGCACCACCACAAGTCACAGTAGGCAAAGGCGGACGAGGTGCATGACTCTACGTATAGAAACTTCATGCCTTAAAAAAATTACACTATTCGCATGAGAACTTCCCTTTCTAGAGCAAAATGTCTTGTTTCTAGACTTATTCTTAGGTTACTGGCGTGTCCTGAAGACACAGAACAGGGACATTGCTAAGTATGCAAGGCTTTCCTCATCTCTCCCCTTCGGACAAGTTTTCCAGTGGGACGAGAGTGGCAGAGGAAGAGCTTCTCGGTCGCCATGGCAACCGGCGCCCCTGACCAGACACGGGGGGGGAGGCGCGGGGGGGGACTACCCTTCACCGAACCAGCACCAGACCCCGGCCCTGATACTCACGAATTGGCCCCTCCGGCCGCTCCTGAAGCGAAGCGCCATGTATGCGGAAGAGGGTTGAGCAGCGTACGCAGAAAAGGACGGCGAGGGAGAGTCTTCGCCGCCGCTGCCGCCGCCGCCTGGAAGCGGGGAGAAAGAAGCGATTCCGCCCGGGCAGCAGAGACGCTTCCCCTCTCGCAACCACGCCGGAACAAGCCGCGCGGCGATTGGCCAAGGCCTCCCGCTTCCACCAATCGCCGCTCGCTTTACTACTTCCGCCTTCCCTTAGCAACCGGGCAGCCGTTGAAGGAGAAGCCCCGCCCACTCCTTCTCTCGTCGCTCGCTCGCTCGCGCGCATCTTTTCGTTTTGTGTTTTGACGGGGGGGGAGCTTTGAGTTGCGATTGGCTGGTTGGCCCGGTGTCCGTCATGCGCAGAGCGCGCGCGCTGCTCAAAGTTGGGGCGCGTCTGTCTCTCTTTCTCTCTATCTCTCTCTCTGGAAGCGGAGCTGGCGAGGATTGGGTGGGTTTTGTCGGGAAGGGGGGGGGTTCTTTAACCTCCACCCACCCTCTTTTATTGCAGGATACAGTGGTACCTCAGGTTACATACGCTTCAGGTTACAGACTCCGCTAACCCAAAAATAGTACCTCGGGTTAAGAACTTTGCTTCAGGATGAGAACAGAAATCGTGCTCCGGCGGCGCGGCGGCAGCAGGAGGCCCCATTAGCTAAAGTGGTCTTCAGATTAAGAACAGTTTCAGGTTAAGAATGGACCTCCGGAACGAATTAAGTTCTTAACCCGAGGTACCACTGTGGCTGTTGCTGGGTGGGCGCCTGTATTTTCAGCCCTGCGTGTGGCGTGATCTCTCTCCTGCCTTAAAGCAAGGGTCTCCCAACCAGGGTTGGATTTAGGTTTGATGAGGCCCTAAGCTACTGAAGGTAATGTCGCTGTTTTTTTGTGTTGAATATATAGGTAAAGGTAAAGGGATCCCTGACCATTAGGTCTAGTCGTGACCGACTCTGGGGTTGCGGCGCTCATCTCGCTTTATTGGCCGAGGGAGCCGGCGTACAGCTTCCGGGTCATGTGGCCAGCATGACCAAGCCGCTTCTGGCGAACCAGAGCAGCGCACGGAAACACCGTTTACCTTCCCACCGGAGCGGTACCTATTTATCTACTTGCACTTTGATGTGCTTTTTTGAACTGCTAGGTTGGCAGGAGCAGGGACCGAGCATCGGGAGCTCACCCCGTCAAGGGGATTCAAACCGCTGACCTTCTGATCAGCAAGTCCTAGGCTCTGTGGTTTAACCCACAGCGCCACCCGCGTCCCTGTTGAATATATACTATAGGGTAATTTATGGACCTAATAGGTATCTAAAGCCATTTGCACATAACAAAAAGCTAGCAGCCGGGCCCATTATTTACATCATAGGAGCCTACACAACACAAAACACTGTTGCTGTATGTAGGTTTTATTTTATTTGTTTTATATCTTATATTTTGGAAATGTACCTTTTTTTCCTTTAGATTTTTTTGGGACCCCCATTGATTAGCTTATACATAAATTCGGCACCGCTGCCAAACTTTACTGGACAACCCGGGTGCACATTTTGAAAGATGGCAGCATGTACAGAGGGTGTGGGAGAGGAGAATAGTCACAGGACAGCTGCCATGATGTATGTGGCCTAAAACACAGCCACTATGTAGGGGGGAGGCATGGCACCATAAAATTGGAGAAAGTGCAATCATGGTGAAGCTTTTCATATAGCTGTACTGCATTTCCATATTTTAAAAACTGCTCGACCTGACGAATTTCTGGCTAGAAAATAAGAAAGTGTGTTGAAGGGAGGTGAAAAGCAGCAGCTCTTGAGAAATAACACACCTACCAATTGCAGCTCAGACTTCTCTCATAAGCAGGCAGGAACAGTTAGGTTTCCTACTCTCACAAAAATCAATTAGAAGGGTACCTGCATGTTTTGCTTTGTAACTTTCTGTGGGGAGGGGGCTAGATTTTAAAAAAAGAAAACAACATCTGGAACCTCTGCTTGGTGGTGCCAATAAATGCCATTGTAGGCACTTGGGTTGGTGACCCCTGGTTTACACATTCCTAATTTTTGTGTCCAAAATTGTGCTATGCAGGGCTTTACAGATGGAGTATATACCAGAAAGAAATAAAAACCTCTGACAGATGATTTGTTTATTAACCCAACAGCCCAGTGCCCATATGCAATGCTTCTGCATCTCATGAATAATACCTTGTTGCCTTATTTTTCCTGTGTGTTTTATGACAGGTGTTTACAAAACGAAGGAGGTCAGTGATGGCAAATGAAGGCACTCCTGTCCGACTAGGAGCCGTTAGTGTCCCTTATGGCATGTGATTGGCCATGAAAAATGGAAAGGCTCTCTGGTTGCTCAGGGGATACAAGGTAACCGTGTCAATAGAAAACAGAACATTTGTGAAAATGTAATTAAAATACAAGATCTGGATAGGGAGTTAGACTAGAATACTTTAAGCCAGATTTTTAAAGTCAGTTTTGATCTTTTGTAAGGTGCACTTGCCATGAGAGGCTGTA